GAATTTCTCAACCATTCCAATCTCTTTTCTTCTCCTTCTCCTCATCCTGACAATTGGTTTTAACCATTGCCATCAGCTGCCTGGAACGCTTCATCCTCTGCAGATTTTCGGGCAGGAGGTGCAGGAGTTTTGTTTCCAAAGGACAAAACCGCATCTCCTCCCTCCCACCCCGCTATTTGTTTGTTGGGGTTTTTTTATTTTTATTTTTATTTTTTTAAAAAAACACTCAAATAAATCACGTGGCCGAGTTATTTTGATAGGTGGAACGCTGTTTATTGCTGCCTTGTCAATACTTTAATTAATTTCTAAAGCAGAAGTGAAGGACAGAATTGAGCTGGAATGAGTTTGGAGCTGTCCTGCCATCCCCACGGCTCGAGTGAAGCAGTGTAACATTTAAAGGCATTAAAGGCAATTAAATGCTTCTGGATTAACGCTGATGAATGTTTGAATTCTGATGAATGTTTTAGAAAAGGATGTGGTAACAGCTGGAAAAGCTCAAAATCATCCCTTCCCTATTATCACGTTTTTGGACACATTATCAGGTTTGCTCATAAAATAGCTCATCTTGATTTTTAGGTGCTTAATGCTGGTTTGTTTTTTTTTTTTTTTTTTGTCTCAGGAATAATCAGGGAAGCAGGAAAGGCCAATGGCAGCTTCTTTGTGGTTATGAAATATGGAGTTAGAGAGGGGAAATCCCTGGCTGCAAACAAATCAATCCAACCCTTCCCTGTATTCCCCACACCCCAGGGCATTGGTAAATGCAGAAAACTCTTCCTGAGGCTCCTCAGAGTTTTTAATCTCCTTGTGCACATCCCCTGTTGGGGAAAGTTCCCTGTGATCCCTGGGGATGGTCCCAGTCCCCTTATTTGTATTTTATTTTTAAATTTTATTTGAATTCTTTTTGTTTTACCTTATTTTATATTTATTTTTACTGTATTTTTTATTGTTTTTTTTTTCTTTTTTACATTTCATTTTCTTTTACCTTATTTAAATTTTGCTTTTTACTTTATTTCTTAATATTTTATTTTCTAGATTTCCTTTTATTTTTTATATTTCATTTTATTTTACCTTATTTTAATGTTTATTTTTACTGTATTCTTTATTTTTTTATATTTCATTTCATTTTACCTTGTTTTAATTTTACTTTTTACTTTATCTTTTATTCTTTTATTTTTTCCATTTTATTTTATTTTTTCTATTTTATTTTACCTTCTTTTAATTTTACTTTTCACTTTATTTTTTCTATTTTATTTTCTTTTTTTCTACTTTATTTTACCTTCTTTTAATTTTACCTTTTACTTTATTTTTCTTATTTTATTTATTTTATTTTATTATTTTATTTCTCTCTCGCTGCTGCAGTTCTGTGTTCTCCCCAGGGGTTTTCCCCTCGTTTGGGGAGGGCAGGGTGTGATGAGGAAGGAGAAGCAGAGAATTCTCTGACCCTGGGACTGATCTGTGCTCTTTAACAGCCCCATCAAATACCCAGAAGCTTTGAGTTCATTTAGAAAAGTTGGGGTGTTTACAGGAAAGTGAAAATTAAGCTTGAAAAAGTGATCACCCTTCTTTTTCCTTTCACATTAATGATTATACAGAAGAGTTTTTTAAAATGTGTGTTTTTAGCATTCATTCCCCAGCAGAATTTCACATTTTAAAGTGATTTCTGTGTTGCTGCTGCCCAGCAATCGTTGTGCCTGAATTCCATTTCCTCTCTGCAGCAAACCCAGCAATCCCTGCCTGTTAAACTGGGAAGTGAGCCTGGAATCAGGGACTGGGATTTGCTAAAAGATGTTTGGAAACCATTGATGTTAATGCAGCAATATCCACTTCTTCCATTATTAACAACTCCCAATTAGTCACGCTGAATAATTAACGTGAGTTCCTGATTGCTGATGGATTATTCCAAAGGAAATGAAATCCCAGATGGAAACCCCAGGGAGGCACCAGCCTGATCCAGGATCGTTGGTGCAAAATGGAAAACCCTCCCAAAAAAAAAAAAAAAACAAAACGGATTCCGCAGGAAATGTTCCTCACAAATGGGCAAAAAAAGGGAATTCCTGCCCTGCTGGGCTCTGCTCATGGCACTTCTGGACAGGGATGCCACCAGGATGTCACCAAGATGGCACTAAAATGCCACTAGGATGCCACCAGGATGTCACCAGGATGGCACCAAGATGCCACCAAGAAGCCAGCAAGATTCCACCAAGATACCACCAAAATGCCACTAAAATTCCACCAGGATCCCACCAAGATGCCACCAGAATGTCATCAGGATGCCACCAAGATGCCTCCAGGATGTCCTCAAGATGCCACCAGAATGTCACCAGGATGTCACCAAGATGCCACAAAAATACCTCCAGGATGTCACCAAAATGTCACCAAGATGCCATCAAGATGTCACTAAAACGCCACCAAGATGTCACCAAGATGTCACCAGAATCCACCAAGATGCCACCAAGATGTCACTAAAATGCCACCAAGATGTCACCAAGATGCCACCAGAATGTCACCAGGATGCCACCAGGATCCACCAGGATGCCACCAGGATGTCACCAAGATGCCACAAAAATACCTCCAGGATGTCACCAAAATGTCACCAGGATGCCACCAAGATGCCACAAGGATGTCACCAAGATGCCACCAAAATGCCAATAAAATGCCACCGAGATGTCACCAAGATGCCACTAAAATGCCACTAGGATGCCACCAAGATGTCACCAGGATCTACCAGGATGCCAAAAGATGTCACCAGGATGCCACCAAGAAGCCAGCAAGATTCCACCAAGATGCCACTAAAATGCCACCAAGGATGTCACCAGGATACCCCCACGATGCCACAAGGATGTCACCAAGATGCCACCAAGATTCCACCAAGATGCCACCAGGATGCCACCAAAATGTCACCAAGATCTCACCAGAATCCCACCAAGATGCCACCAAGATGTCGCCAGGATCCACCAGAATGTCACCAAGATGCCACAAGGATGTCACCAAGATGCCAATAAAATGCCACCAGGATGTCACCAGGATACCCCCACGATGCCACAAGGATGTCACCAAGATGCCACCAAGATACCACCAAAATGACACCAAGATGTCACCAGGATGTCACCAGGATGCCACCAAGATCTCACCAGAATCCCACCAAGATGCCACAAGGATGTCACCAAGATGCCACCAAAATGCCAATAAAATGCCACCATGATGTCACCAGGATTGCCACCAAGATGCCACCACACTCAGGGCAGGCTTGTGATGCACAGGGTGGGAAATTTGGATTTAAAACTTTTGGAAATGAAACCCCCCCCCAGGTAACGCCTGATTTTGATGTAGTGGAGTTTAGAATCGCTTTTGGACTAATTTTGATAAATATAATTTATTACCTTTTGTGGCCAATGCCTGCCCATGTGTATCTCATTTGTTATTAGAATAATAAATATATGTTGTAGTTTCTTGCAAAATATTAAAACAGAGGCTGTGTAATGTTGGTTTTTACTGGATATTTTTATTTTTGCAACTAATTATAATAGTGAAAATAAGTTTGTAGAAATAGACAAAATTGTCTGTAGGATTAGATAACATTGAAGGAATCACACAGATAATTTGAAAAGAAGGATGTGGGAAAAGAAAAAATACTTCTACCACTATCAATAATTCCCTGTTTGTCTTTGTGGGGAAATGGCATAAATGCTGTGAGGAAAAAAAATATAAATATTGTGAGGAAATGGCATATACATTGTTAGGAAATGGCATAAGTGTTGTGAGGAAAAAAAAATATATATTGTGAGGAAATGGCATAAATTTTGTGAGGAAATTGCATCTAAATTGTGAGGAAATTACATATATATAGTGAAAAAATGGCATCTACATTGTGGGGAAATTCTTTAAATATTGTGAGGAAATGGCATAAATACTGTGAGGAAAAAAATATATATATTGTGAGGAAATGGCATATAGATTGTGAGGAAATAACTGACAAAACTCCCAAAAATCAAATCTACCCTCTTGCACGATGGGTCAGGAGTGGAAAAAAACCAAAAGAATTCCCAGAACTCAAAGGAATATTCCAATATTTATAATTGTCATAAATGTCCATCTGCTCAGTGCAATGAATATCTAAGGAAAATTATTATGACAATTTTCACAATCGTGACAATAATTTTAACGATTTTTCCTTGGCCAGCGCTGCACACTCACCCTTTTATCCCTTATTAAACTTTTAAACATTTTGAAGTGTGAGCCTTGTTTCTCACGCTTTTGCCTCTTGTGTTTCCTTGTATTTTTCCTGTATTTTCTTGTATTTTTCTTTATATTTTCATGTATTTCCTTATATTTCCTTGTATTTCCTTATGTTTCCTTGTATTTTTCTTTATATTTTCATGTATATTTCCTTGCATCTCCTTGCATTTCCTTCTGTTTCTTTGCATTTCCTTGTATTTTTCCTTGTATTTCCTTGCGTTTCCTTGTATTTCCTTATATTTCCTTATATTTCCTTATATTTTTCTTTCTATTTTCATGTATTTCCTTGTATTTTCCCTTGTATTTCCTTTTATTTCCTTGTATTTTCCCCTGTATTTCCTTTTATTTCCTTGTATTTTTTGTTTCCTTGCATTTCCTTGTGTTTCCTTGCATTTCCTTGTGTTTCCGCATATTTCCTTATATTTCCTTGTATTTTTCCTTATATTTCCTTGCATCTCCTTGCATCTCCTTGCATCTCCTTGCATTTCCTTGCATTTCCTTGCATTTCCTTGCATTTCCTTATATTTCCTTGTGTTTCCTCATATTTCCTGATATTTTTCCTTATATTTCCTTGCATTTCCTTGTATTTCCTTGTATTTTTCCTTGTATTTCCTTATATTTCCTTGCATCTCCTTGCATTTCCTGATATTTTTCCTGACATTTCCTTATATTTCCTTGCATTTCCTCATATTTCCTGATACTTTTCCTGACGTTTCCTTGCATTTTTCCTGACATTCCCTTGCGTTTCCTTCCCCCCTGCCCAGTTCGAGTGAGGCCTTTGGCATCGTGGAGAAGATCCTGCTGCTCTCCTTCATCTCCGCCGTCATCCTCATGGCCATCCTGGGCAACCTGCTGGTCATGGTGGCCGTGTGCAGGGACAGGCAGCTCAGGTGAGCCCACCTGCTCCCTAATTATTACTGCTTGGTTAATTAATCTCATTTCTCTTTTTTTTTTTTTTTTTTTTTTTCGGGGTTAGGATTAAGAGAAACGCGATAGAAATGTTTGGGTTTTTTTTTCTCAGAAAAATACAGAAAATCCAACAGAGCTTCCAGCTCGTTGCTAGAAGTGGAAAATGGCAGCACACTGAACTTCAGGGGGCTAATTAATATCCCTTAATTACAATTTTGCACCCACTTTTATACCCTCTATATAATTTACACCTTCTCATTGGTCACTGTTAGTCACTGGGGGAAAGTTCTCCACCCCTGTTCTTCCCAAGACCTTTCTGAAAATACTTTCTACTGCTGTGGAGTTTTTTTGGTTTTTTTTTTTTTTTTTCCTGGTTATCCTCTTCTCCTCTTGCTCTCCATTGCCTTGGTCAGAGAAAATTTCTCCAAATAATCCTCATTTATTAACCCCTTCTAACCCACAGACCAGCTGTGGGTCCTACTGTATCTTTGAAGGCTGAACAGTCTAATAGAGAATTAACACCGATATTTTTTATACTTTTGACCTAATAACCAGATTTTCACGACCTTTAGAGTGACACTGATGGCCAACCAAAAACTACTGCTTGAAACCTGTTGAAGAAGAAAGATGAGCAAAGAGAATTAAAATCCTCCATCTTGTCCCATTACTATACTATAAAAACCTCAAATTTAAAACTCATCACTCTGTGAAATCACACACTTCTCATTCACTACACGCTTGTGATTTTTACTTCACCACTCATATTTTGAAGCCTTCTCCAAGCCCTCAGCTCCAGAGCAGTGTTTTCCAGGGGGTCTGTTCCTGAAAGCACAGAAAACTCCAAAACTCCACATTTCTGGGACCCAACAGACACCCACAGTGGGGACAAAGCCACCCCTGATGATGTGAGGACAGGAATTGTCACCAGGGAGGTGACCCTGCCTTGCAGACCCTCCCCTGCCCTCGACTCATCCCCTCGTAATTCCCATCCTCATCCTTTTAGTGCAGAAAAAAAATCAGGGTAGGCAAATCCTCAGTGTGAAGATTTTGATGGAAAAACCGGAACAAATGAGTGAAAACCAGATTTAAGCAGCAATTCCCTGGACAAACAGGTTGGCCTCTGCCCCTTCTCCATCTCGGATTTCCCTCAGCAGCAGCACACAGACCAAGGTCTGGGTGTGTTTGTGCAGCACCAGCACAACCTGGCAAATCCTGCCTGGGATTTGAGGGGGTCACAGGCACAATTTTCCCATGATTTGAGGGGGTCACAGGCACAATTTTCCCGTGATTTGAGGGGGTCACAGGCACAATTCCTGTCTCCAGGCTGCTGCTCACCCTGGGAGTTGTCAGCCCAGCCTTAGGAGCAGAGAGAGAGAAGAGAGGTTTAACAGCCTCTATTCATGTGCTGCGTGGGATTTTTAATGGATTTAATTCTATTTTATTGTTGTGATTTAAAAAGTACTCTTCAAGTTAAAATTACAGCTTCAGTCTAGATTATTCTCAGTGCTTTCTGGAAGGATTTTCTCCATTTACAAGTTAAAATAAAATCCCCTTCTTCCACCTCAGAGTCTCCAGTGCAGAGGCCTGTGAGCATCCATTTGCCTCCTCTGGGGGAGCACAGAGATGTATTTAGGCCAGGAAAATGGTGGATATTTAGCTTTAAAAACCAGGAGTGGTGACCATATAAAGTGAGGAGAGTGTTAGACAGGAGATTTTAGTGTGATAGAGCAGATGAACCCCAAATTCAAGCTGGAATCTGTGCCCACGTGTGGAGGCTGCTGCACTGAACCCACCCTAATTCTGTGCTCTGCCTTGCAGGAAAATCAAGACCAATTATTTCATTGTTTCCTTGGCCTTTGCTGACCTGCTGGTGTCGGTGCTGGTGATGCCCTTTGGAGCCATCGAGCTGGTTCAGGACAACTGGGTCTATGGGGAGATGTTCTGCCTGGTGAGGACATCCCTGGACGTGCTGCTCACCACAGCCTCCATCCTGCACCTCTGCTGCATCTCCCTGGACAGGTATGGGCTGTACACGGGCACTGCTGGCAACCTCTGCTGTGCCCTGGGGCATCCTGAGCTGCCACAAGGCAAAGCTGCACCTGCCTGGCATGGCACAGCAATAAATCTGTGCCAGTGGTTGGTTTTTGGAGAGGATTCTGAGGAGGGAGGGAAGAGGAATTTGGAATGGAATGGGATTGGTGGTGGGGATCTGGGTTGTTCTGTTGGAAGCTCTGGCCAGGTGTGGTTTTGTGGTTCTGCTCCTTCTTTGGAGGAGAAAAAGGCTCCTCAGATGTGTGCAAAGGTGGGAGCTGAGCTGTGGCACAGGGCCAGATGTGGCCTCTGCCAGATGTTCTGCACTCAGGGAACAGGATCAGGAGGAGAGGGAACGGCCCCAGGCTGGGCCAGGGGAGCTCAGGGTGGACAGCAGCAGGAATTTCCCCATGGAAAGGGTGGGCAGGGATTGGAACTGCCCAGGGGGGTTTGGGTCCCCATCCCTGGAGGTGCCCAGGGAGGTTTGGATCCCCATCCCTGGAGGTGTCACCTGGATGTGACACTCAGTGCTCTGGGCTGGGGACAAGGTGAAATCAGGCACAGGATGATCTTGAAGGTCTTTTCCAGCCTAAACCTTCTGAGAGATCTTAAAAACTTTCCTTTCTTCCCAACTTTTCTCGCCACCTAAAAATAAAACCCAGCCCTCAACAATTTCTGGAGAGCAATTCTGTTGGGCTGCAGATTTTCAGGGTAAATGGCAGAACTTCCATAAGAATTTTTCACAAGATAAACACTCAGTAGGAAACATTTTGGCTATTCTGATAATATTTAGAGGTGTTTTTTTTTGGTTGAGGGGTTTTTTTGTTGGTTTGGTTTGGGGTTTTTTTTGGTTTTGAGGGGGTTTTGTTTGGTTTTGGGTTGGTTTCTGTTTGTTTTGGTTTTGGTGGGGTTTTTTGTTTGTGTTTTTGGGGTTTTTTTGGAGTTCTGTGCAGAGATTTCAATACCTTTAAAACCACTGTTACTTAGTATTGCTACCCAGGGCCAAAATAACCATAATTATTCTCGTTATTGTGACAGCTGATATTTAAATACGTGGCATTTCAATATCTTGAGAGTCTGAGTGCAGCCAGACTTCAAAAAAAAAAAAAAAAAGTTGCTTAACCACAATCTTGATGGGTAGCAGTGCTGTGGGGGGCACCAGCACAGGCAGTTTTGTATCCAGAGGGAAGCTGAGATTCCCCCAGGCACAGCTCCTGTCCTCATCTGCAAAATTTGGATGGCTGCAACACAAATGGGAAACTCGTTTTCTTCAAATCGTTGACAAATTGCCACTCTGAGCCAATTACCAGCAAAGCAGATGTTGGGCTCTGGATGTGACCTTGCTCTCTGAAATGTTGGAGTTTGATTCTCCAGGCTCTTAATTAAAGAGGGAGGGAAGGGAAAATGGGATTTCAACCCTGGATTTTTTTCCCCCCTTTTTTCCTGCCCTCCTGGAGACGCCCCCATGTCCAGAGTTCCTGTCCTGTCCCCATCTGTCCCCAAAATCCTGGGCCAGCCTTGCCTTGGAGTTGATGCTTTAGGGATCTCCTGCACCTCAGCCCTCGGTGTTAAAGGTTCCTGGCAGAACCTTGAATTCCTCTGACATTTTTTTAGTTGGTTTTGGGGTTGGTTTTTCCCACAGTGAGGACTGACTGAACACCAGAATAGACGGGGAGAAGGTGGTGGATGACCCCAAAAGGGCAGAGCAGGTGGATGAATGAGAATGAGAGGATTTTGTGGATGAATGAGAGGATTTTGTGGATGACTCAGCCCAGCATCAATCCCTGCCTGGGGCAGCACTGCTTCCTTCCCACGGCTTAATTCCATTTTTTCAGCTGTTTGCTCTTGTGTCCATTCAGAATTTATGGGAGTGTGTTGCTTCTAGCTGGTTTTTTTTTTTCTGTGATCTATTTCTTGCCTTCTGTTTTATTTCAGGGCATGCAGGTGTGAGTTTTAAGGGTTTTTTTTATTAAGAAAACCCTTGGGTGGTTAATCTAATCCTAAAGACTCCCTTTGGAAAGTCATTCCCTTCAAAATATTCACAGAGTGTTGTTTGAAAAGACTTTTATCTGATAATGCCTTGTACCTATTTCCACTGCTGCCTCTGGAAAAGAAGGAAACAAGCACTGAGGCTTGAATTCTCAAAGGCACTGGAGAAAATCTGGAGAAATCACCATGTAATAAACTGATTTTCCTGCTCAGACACAGGGATTAAAATCCTGCAGAGAGCCTCTGTCAGTCTCAGTTGGAAAAGGGATTTTCCAAGGTAGCAAAGGTGTCTCAGGGCTCACTGAATCCAAAGTTTGCTGCCACTGCCTTGTGCTTTTTCATCATCTCTTTGATATTCTAATATATTAGAGAGATTTACCCTTGAAATATTTATTTATTGCATGTTTTATGCATCCATGTCCATTCTTTGTGCCAGTGCAATAAAAAATAATTGCGCTGCAGATAAACAGACCCAGAAGCTCTGATGGAGTCTCTGAATGCAGCGAGCTTGTCAGGAGAGGCAATTTTCTCCTCCAATATTTGCAGTCCAATTTGCAATGCAATTACTTCACAAAGCCTTTGGTGGGGTGGGGAAAACAACAGAGGGACAAGCGGGTCCCTAAATGGCTGCGGGTTTGGGTTTGGGGTTGGGTTTGGGTTTGGGGTTGGGTTTGGGTTTGGGTGCACATCTGGCAGCTCTTGATGCAGCTGGAGCATCCTGTCCCTGCTTCCTGCACCCTCCAGCCAGGGCTGTGTCCCTCTGGGTGCTCTGTTTGCTGGGGTGTTTCACACCTTTTTCACACCCCAAACCAGCCCTGAGTGTGTTCTTTGATCCCAAACTGATCCTACATTCAGGCTCGGCCCAAAATCGCTGCTAAACCAGGCTTAAATCCTGGCAGATGCACCCCGAGAGCGTCAGAGCAGAGCTCTGCTCGCCGTGCTGTTTGCAAACATTAATTACCATTAATGGACTGTTCAGGCAGCAAATTAGCACAGACAGAGGTGATGTTGGAAAAGCTCCCGAGCCCTGTGGTGACATCCTGTGACAGCAGCCCTGTCCCCTGGCCCTGGGGGACACTGGGCACTGCCCCTGCTGCCAGTGCTCCAGCCCAGCATTCCCTGCTCACCCATCCCCTGTCCTGGCTGGTGCCCAGAGGGTGCCCAGGCCATGGTGTGGTGCCCAGGCCATGGTTGGGTGCCCAGGCCATGATTGGGTGCCCAGGGTGCTGTCCCAGGCTGGCAGGAAGCTGCTGTGCCCAGCTGTGCCCAGCTGTGCCCTGTAGAGCATCCCCAGCTGTGCAGGGCCACGGGGAGGTTGTTCGTTGTGGGAGAAGGATTCAAACTTCGGGTAGCTGTCAGTAATTAATGCTTGCAGCCTGATCAAATGCCCCAAATTCCAGATTCTGGAGTTCTGCCCAGGCTGGAAATTCCCTGTGCCTGTTTCACCTGGATGTCAGGTGGGAGAGCAGAGAGGCAGCAGGAAAAGCTGGAGCCTGTCCCCAGGGTGTGAGAGGTGACACAAATCTGGAGCTGTCCCTGCCAGCCAAAAAAACCATCCCAGCCTTTGCAGAATCCAAATCCCTTTTTTAATGAAAATCCCAGAGCAGATGGCCACAGCTCAGGCTGAGGGATGCTCTGTCCTTTATTCATCTCTGCAAACCCTCCAGAAAAATTTCATTTATTTTGCCACCCTTGCTGCCAATAACCCTCCACACACCTCAGCCTCACGGGGCCCGTGGAGGAGCCCTCTCTCATCTCCATTTGGCAACACACATTTGTTTGTGTTCCCTGCTAAATTTATCCAGCTCCAATTAACTGTTCTCTTTAGCATTTTTCTCAGTGTAATTATCTCAACACCAGCAGGCTGTTGTTTTTCTAATAAGAATTTAATTTTGTTAGAAATAATCATTTTAGGACATTTTCTTTTTCTGGACCAACGGTGCAGAACTTTGTTTTCTCTGGCACAATGAGAGCCCAAAGCTTATTTGCTCAGTGGGAAAAAGGAAAATAGAAAGAGCTGTTCTTTCCAAAAAAAATGTTAAAATCTGGTTCCACAGAGGCCAGAACCTGTTTTCACTGAGATAGCAGCAGCAGTAGTGTTGGATTAATTTCCCACAGGCACAAATAAATTGAAATTGTGGCTCCTTAGGTTCATCACTTGGTCAGGGCTCAGCTGGGGACTCTGTCCCAGTCTGGATTCCCTGAGGGACAAGGACAAGGGCAGTGACTTCGCAGTGACAGAGGGCTTGGCTCTTGCACCCTAACTTTGGGAGAGAGCCAGCAGCACCCACTGTTTTCCCATCCTTTGGTCTTCCTTTTTTCCCCCCAGTTTTCCTGTCTTTTGGCTTCTTTTTTCCAGTTTTCCCATCCTTTTGGCTTCTTTTTTTTTTTTCAGTTTTCCCATCCTTTGGTCTTACTTTTTTCCAGTTTTCCCATCCTTTTGTCTTCTCTTTTTTTTTCCCCAATTTTCCTGTCTTTTGGCTTCTTTTTTCCAGTTTCCCATCCTTTTGTCTTCCTTTTTTCCAGTTTTCCAATCATTTTTTCTTCTTTTTTCCCCCCAGTTTTCCCATCTTTTGGCTTCTTTTTTTTCCTAGATGATTTAAGTGGGGTGAAATAATTACTCAGTGTGAGTGTTCTGTGTCTCATCCTGGCCCCAGGGATGATCCAGCATATGCTATGTACATCATTTTCCATATGCACATGACACCAAATGCTTTTGAGGTGTGGGCCACCCCCAGAGCCAGGCTGTTCGTGAGGGTGGGGGTGGATTTGTCTGTCTGTGAGAGCTCGAGAGCTCCTTGCAGGGTGGTGCCTACAGGCTCCCAGCTCCAAACTGCACTGCAAACCGGGGAGATGCTTTCATTTCACTCCAAGGGCAAGGAATGATCTCCTGCAGCTGAATAATTTTTATTTCTGTAGTGCCCAGGAGGCAAGGGAGGAGCAGAGGTGTGGGCAGAGCATCACCAGGGCTTGGGCAGGAGCTGAGAGCTCCAGGGCAGCTTTTCCACAGCCGTGGGGTTGAGGAGGTGTTGGGATATTTAAATCATTCCTTGCCGTGGCTCACAGCTGGATTGTGCTGCTGTCAGTCACATCCAGCTGTGGAACTGCCCTGGATCCTAACTGGGACCTTGGGATGATGGAAAGAAAGTGCCAGGATAAAGGGAATGGCTCCACATTGACAGAGGACAGGGATAGATGGGATTTGGGAAGGAATTCCTGCCTGTGCATCCCTGGAAGTGTCCAAGGCCAGATTGGAGAGGGTTTGGACAGTGGAAGGTGTCCCTGCCCGTGGCTGGGGTGGAATTAAATGATCTTTAAGGTCTCTTCCCTGTGATTCTGTCATTTCTGCATAAGGCCCAAGAAATGATGGATTTCTTCTTTTCAGCCACAATCAAACGTTAGCACTTGATTCATTCCTGTGGCAAATGTCTAAGAAGGAAAAGGAGAAGTTTTAGAATAATCTTTGTTTTATTGGAAGAGCTGCAGCTCCTGGAAGGGGTCCCTGTGTTTCCCCTTCAGTGGAGAATATCATTGCAGAGGAGGTTTCACATCAGCTGCTCTGCTGTGGGTAACAGGGGAGGGAACATTTGCAAGGAACTTGACTGATAATCGAGAGAATTAATATTTAATTGGGCCTGGACATGGTATTAATCACGTGTATGCATTGCATTTTCTGTTCATCCATCACACTGCCACAGCAGCACAGAACAGAGATTCAGGAAAGCAGAATGCAGAGCATGTCTTTATTCTGACTAAAACTATTGATAATCTCACAGATAGAATTCCTTCTCTGCCAGTGAATAAATAGCTGCTCAAATGCTCAGCACATGGATCAAATCATCACCTCCTGCAAGATCTGTGATTTCCAGTCCTTCTGGTGGCACTCTCAGCTGTCTGGTACCTGATTCCTGGGATGGAAACCCTGCTGGGCTCTGGAGAAGTGGGTGCTGTGCTCCTCTGCCTCCCTCCCCATCACAAAATTGTCACCCACACCTGCTCTTTGTCACCCAAAACAGTGACAGGAGGAGCCCAGCTCGACTCTGAGCAGGGGGGAAGTTCTGGTAGCAGCAGCAGCAGCGAAAATGAAATAAAATCAAATCTTTTTGACGTGAAAGTGGAGGAAAATTGCTGCTGAATCACTGGGAGGGAAGAAATACAGGAGCTTAAGGTGTCATTTTTACAGGCATAATTTTTACTCTAATGGCCTCTAATAGCAGGAACAATTCAGGGTAATTCTTTCAGCTGCAGCAGGGAAGAGGAGCAGAGAAATGTGATCACTCAAACTGCTGGCAAGAATTGTTTTCCTGCTGTATTTAATTAGCAGTGTACAGTGGTTTTCTCTTCCTGTTTGCTTATCCAGCTTGTCAAAGGGTAGCTGCTGTCTTGGCTGGTTTTATTCTTTTATTTATTGGATTTCTTCTCTTGCCCTTTTTGCAAAGAAATGGAGTCTCTTGTGACTCGGCTTCGATGTCCAGCACTTTCAGTGAGTGACTTTGAGATAACAAACAATTAAATCTATTTTTTTAATATAGATACTTTGTGTTGAGAGTCAGGGGAGCAGCTCTGATGCCAAGGGAAGCTCCCTCTGTCCCAGTAAACATCCCAAAAATTCCTGTTGGAATTCCAAATTGATTTCCTGGGACAGGGATCAGCCCCAGGGGAGCTGGAGCTCCACGAGAGGAACTTTTCACCCACAGGTCTAAAAGAGCAGCTCCTGGCAAATGCAATTTTTTTGGAAGTGCAGCTTTCCAGAGGAACAGGCTGATTTTTCATGCACACAGGAAAGCAGAGGAGAAGAGAGGAATTATCAAATTGCAGGAGTTGAATGCCTGTTTCAGCGTTTTTCCCCTGTGACATTTTGAATCTTGTTTCAAAGAGACTTTTAAGAAATGTTTTCTTTTGACACTTTGATATTACTTCAAGCCTCTGTGTGGAATATATCATCTGATTTTATCAAAATAAAGCAATTCAGTTGACTCCACATGACTTTAAGAAAAAAAAAAAGTCTTAGGAAAAAATGGAATTTCTTATATTTTTGTGCCTGTTTAGGACAAAGCTCTTGGTTCCCACTCAAATCTCGAAGAGCGGCTCTTTAACACACACACATTGTTATTGCTAATTTAATTCCTCTAACTCATGGTTCTGCTGACCTCATTAAAATTTTTACAGAGTGTGCTGAAATCCAAAAATCTAAAGAGCAAAAAATATTTTATTGGGAACCTGAGACTGATTGTCAGGTCAGGAGCACTGAAAGTCTGCAATTGGCTATTTGCTGATCTGGTCCTCTTAGGAATAAATAATAATTTCAGTTTTATTTTTGCTACCCCTTCCTGATGGAGAGATCCACCTGCAGGGGGTGGCACGGGGATCAAACAAAGAGAAAATTTGATTTTTTTATCTCTTTGAGAAGATATTTTTAGGTCATAACTATTTTAGGAGCAGGGACCGGTGCAACTGGGGGAATTTGAAAGGCTCAGGAGGAGGAAGGAGAGTTCAGGGCACGTCCCCTTGAGGGTGCAAAGACTTTTGTCCTTGGGAAGGTTAAAACCCAGCTGGAAATAAGGAGGATTCGTGGGAAATGGAAAAACACTCTTCATTTTACTGCCAGTTTCACAGCTTTGGGAGACTTTGTTAATTTGTGATAATTGTTTTTGCAGCCTCATCAAAATAAATGTCCAGGGAAGGTAGGAAATTCAGGGAGGAAGGGAAGGAAGGAAGGAAGGGAGAGAAGGGAGGGAGGGATATTCCTTGGAGGGTGGGGACATCCTCAGGCGCTGAGTGTGGAATCTCTCCCTTGCCCTGCCACCTCAAAAAACCCACAGCATTCACCTGGAAATGCTGGAAAGCAGAAAAACTCTGTTTTTTTTTCCTTGCAAGCCACCAAAAATATCCCAAATTCCTGTGTGATAAGCCCGACGGAAGCAGGCTACACACTCCTATTCCCCCTCTGTTTTGAAAGGCAGGAGAAACAGCACCAAAAAAAAGAGTTTTACAGCTGGATTTTTAGCAGGTTTGGGAGTGTCCTGTGCCTGTCTGTGTGCCCTGCAGGTACTATGCCATCTGCTGCCAGCCCCTGGTGTACAGGAACAAGATGACCCCGCTGCGCATCGCCGTCATGCTGGGGGGCTGCTGGGTCATCCCAACCTTTATTTCTTTCCTCCCCATCATGCAAGGCTGGAATAGCATTGGCATCATTGATCTGGTGAGTAGCCAAGGAGGGAAAATCCAAGGCACTGAGTGTGTGATGGGTGTTCTTTAAAAAGCAGTTTTTCAGGGAAAGGGAAGAATAAGGGGAAATTTTGTAGTGCAGAGGGGTTGCTGAATTTCTGGAGGGGATTTTTAAGGGGGGGTTGAAGTGGTTCTGTCCTGGAAGGGCTGACACAGGGACAGTGGTGGCCTGGGAGAGGATTTTACCAACATTCACTGTCAGGTCAGTCAGGAGTCCTTGGAAAAAAAGGCCAAGCCCAGCTGGGCCCTGAAACACCTCAGGAGCCCTTGGTTCCCTTGGCCTTTGCTGCTCTCACTCAAATAAGAAGCAGAATTATTCTCTTGGTGGAATAAACAAAAGCTTGGAGTGCCAGGACAAGGGGATGGCTGCACACTGCCAGAGGACAGGGTTAGATGGGAAATTGGGAAAAAACTCCCTGTGAGGGTGGTCACGGGTCACACAGAGAGGTTGTGGATGTGTCCAAGGATGGCTGGACAGGCCTTGGAGCACCCTGGTCTAGTGGAAGGTGTCCCTGCCCATGACAGGGGTGACATGACATCATCTTTGAGGTCCCTCCCAAACCAACCCGTTCTCTGATTCCCACTTTATCCCTCCTTCCTCGCCTTCTCCTCCCCTCCACGCCCCAGATCCAGCAAAGACAATTCAACAAAGCCTCCAACTCCACCTACTGCATCTTCATGGTGAACAAACCCTACGCCATCACCTGCTCCGTGGTGGCTTTTTACATCCCCTTCCTGCTGATGGTGCTGGCCTACCACCGCATCTACGTGACAGCACGGGCACACGCACGGCAGATCCGGCTGCTGCAGCGGGCAGGGAACCCCCAGGAGCCCAGGCAGCACCTCCAGGAACCCAGACAGAACCTGCAGGAACCCAGACAGAACCTGCAGGAACCCAGACAGCACCTCCAGGAACCCAGACAGAACCTGCAGGAACCCAGACAGAACCTGCAGGAGCACAGACAGAACCTCCAGGAACCCAGACAGCACCTCCAGGAACCCAGACAGAACCTGCAGGAACCCAGACAACACCTCCAGGAGCCCAGACAGAACCTCCAGGAGCCCAGACAGAACCCACAGGAGCCCAGACAGAACGTGCAGGAGCCCAGACAGAACGTGCAGGACCAGCACAGCTCCCACCGCATGAAAACCGAGACCAAAGCCGCCAAGACGCTGTGCATCATCATGGGCTGCTTCTGCCTCTGCTGGGCCCCGTTCTTCGTCACCAACATCGTGGATCCCTTCATAAACTACACAGTGCCTGGCAAGCTGTGGACGGCCTTCCTGTGGCTGGGCTACATCAACTCGGGCCTGAACCCTTTCCTGTACGCCTTCCTCAACAAGGCCTTCAGACGTGCCTTCCTCATCATCCTCTGCTGCGGCGACGAGCGCTACCGCAGGCCCTCCATGCTGGGCCAGAGCGTGCCCTGCTCCACCACCACCATCAACGGCTCCACACACGTGCTCAGGTGAGCTCTGGTGCCTTGGGGATTTGCCAAAATGTGAGTGTCGGCCTCGTGCTGGTGATGGGCCGTGAGGGGCAGAAGACTCGCTGGAGATTTAAAGTGTGTCGCCGTCACTTAAAGGATTAACCCTTGGTTAAGCACACAGAGACATGGTCAGCCCTCAGGGTAGGAAGGAGACGGTGACAAATTTATTGTGACACACGCCTTGCTTAAGTACAGCCACACACTGCTCCAGAATAGAGCTGATTGGTTGGAACACGCAGTATCTCTTGCACAGATATCTGCATTATAAACAGAGTTCTCAAAATACACACTCTGTAAGCATCAAAATGCACACTCTGTAAAAATCAAAATACACACTCTGTAAAAATCAAAATACACACACTGTAACCATCAAAATACACACTCTGTAAAAATCAAAATACACACTCTGTAAAAATCAAAATACACACTATAAACATCAAAATGCACACTGTAAACAGTAGCAGGTGCCTTTGTTTGCTCCTGGGAAATCCTCTGCTCCCAGGCCAGCTCCTGGAAAGCTCCGTGGTCACACTAAACTGTCCCAGGAGCTGGCTGAGGCTTTCTACACGAAGTGTATGTTTATTCTGATAGGCTGAAAAGACTCTGTAACTCGTAGGAAATGAGAGTTTTAAAGTAGGTGTGTATTTATTCAGTGATGAGGTGCACGGGGTCTCAATTCAGTGCTGGGCAGCAGCGTGGGGTCACCCTCCAATAATCACTGTGAAATTAGAGGTGATCACAGAGTCTATTTATTGGCAAAAGCTTCAGACAATTTCATATTCATCATACCAGCCCCTCCCATCCTCTGCTTCCTATGGTAATTAGCTGGAATGGTTATTAAGCAAGCGTGGTTGGCTTCTTGAATTAAGTCTGGGGTTGTTTTTGTGGGGAGGGGTCTTAAAAAGAAGAAGTAAGGTGAGTCTTCCTCGTCCTAAACTTTCCATCTTTTCTATCAATGACAATGCAAATGGCTTATGGGAAAACTCCAATTTCCTTCTCTTCACAATTTTGAATAAGGTTCTGGTTGAATTGTTCGTGTTTCTTTGCATCTGTTTACCAGTTTCATCTTTTCCCATTGCAAGCACAGCTGAGCAAATATAAAATGACAGGCAATCAATTATTTAAGTCTTAGATAACTATCTCAAGCCTGGTTTTCTTCTAACTAACCCCTAACTTTTAAATCTCTTCAGCAAGGCTTATTTATCCATCTGCTTTTTAATTAACTTTAGTAAATAACTAAAATCTTTATTTCTCTAAGATTAGTGTTTCACTGGAACAGAGGCTGGACAGAGTTAAAGGAATAAAACAGGGATTTATTGAAAGGCCTTCAAAGGATTAACCTTGGGCACTGCAAGAGCCTGGACATGGCTACACCCAAGCTGGACTCTTGGTCATGATTTTTCACACTTTTATCAGTTTGGGTCCATTTCCATTTTGGGGTTCATTGTCCAATCCCAGCTCCAGGTTCTGCAGTCCCACCCTCCCAGATTCTCTCCCCCATTCGCTGCTGTTTGCACTTTTTGGGGCTGGAGCTGCAGCGTGTCCTTGGTTGTGGGGCTGGAAAAGGATTGTTCTGTGTGCCTGAGCTGGGAGGAGAACTTGGAACACTTGATATGGAGTTCACAGTTCTATCCTAATGCACTGCAGAGGCTGGGAAATAGAAAAGTTAAAATTTCAGGCATCATCTCCTTCCCCAGGCAAACACCCAAAGGTTTGGCACAGCCTGAACAAAGCAGCTCTTGGTTCTCAAATTCTGCATTGAGCAAGAGCTCCAAACCTGATGCTTTAATTGCAGCTGGGTGGACAACCCTGAGCCCCCCACCCTCCCTGGGACTGGGGGATAAAAACTTGCTGACACTTTTTTTGAAGTTCAGAGTTATATCCTAATGCGGTGCAGAATCTGGAAATTATAAAAGTTAAAATTTCAGGCATCGGCCCAGAGCCTGCAGCCACCAGCAAGAGGAGTTTGTACAGGATTGATTTCATTTTGCAATATCTTGGTGGTAGAAATGCTTAGAAAGGGATGGGGCAGAAGCAGTTTGGGGCAGGCTGGGTTTGTAGGGAACAGGTGTGTCCAGTTCCTGCAGGTGTGCCCAGGACAGAGCTGGGAGAGGGCAGAAGTTGGGTGTGAGCTCCCCTGGGAGCTCCACGGGGGCTGCAGCTGGATCAGACACTTTTCCAAACTCAAAGTTGCTCCTCCTGGCCAAAATTTTCTGCAAATGGGGAAGCAGTGCCAGTGGGATTTTACAGCTGCTTTTTGTCCTCTGGCTGGGAGAGCAGTGGCAAGAGGGACAGACCTTGTGTTGAACTCAGCTCTGACAAAAATTAGCACAAAAGTGAACTGTAAATAGATGGGGATTTCTGGGTGTTCAGGGTTCTGTGCAACACCAGACTGAGAAAAGCCAAAATCATCAAAAAAAAAAAAAATGCTGTGTTCCCCTTGAAACAGATTGTTTGCATTTCTTCTGTCATGAGTAGATATTTATTCAAAACAAACCAACAAACTCCTGCCTCCATGAATCACTGAACTCTTGTAGAGCACAAATGGATGAGGAGCCAGGTCAGCATTGCTGGAATTCCTGAATAAAACAAATTGGGACATTTTGCAACAGCAAAGATGACTTTGGGTGAAATATATCTGTGCAATGATCAGAGCAGACACACTCTGGAACATCTGGCTCAGGGAGGTCACTCTGCTGTGTCCCCATTCCCTCTCAGAAAAGCTCAGAGCACTGCATTGGTGTCTTCAGGGAAAGTTCTAGTGAGAAGTTTATTTACCACTCATTTTCCAGCATTGAGATGTCTTCTCCAAAAGTCAATTGGGATTTCTCCAAAGGAAAACACATCCTGATTTTTTTTTTTTTTCCTCTTGAAAAAGCCAAGAGAAATAAAGTGAGGGGAAAAAGGCAGAAATAAACACCTTGGGGGTTGGAACTGCAGTGAGCCACTGGAACAGCAGTGCAGCAACTCAGGGGCTCCAAATTTTAGAGGTTTAACAGTTCCAAGGATCCACTGGAATAAAAATAAATCCCTGCTGGTTGTAGGAAAGAGGTCAGGGCTGGTGTGGAGCAAAAGAAAAAGTGATCACAGAATCCTGGGACCATTGAATGCTTTGGGATG